AGGGAGAGAAGATAGCGACGGCCGTCAAAAGAAAGGTAGGATTTGCCGAGTTAAATAGCCTATGTCGGCATAGACACAGCCTCTCGAAGTAGCTCAGTTCAAGATTCTTCTTTCTTGTTTCTTCAGTTGGATAATGACATAGGTACTCTGTTGCACAATGCATTGAAATCAGCACTGAGCTATGTTAATTCTTGACAGGTTTTAATCGGCTATAATATATTTTTTTTTTGTTTTCTTCAATTTGTTTGCGTCAGCACTCTTGATTTCTTTACTTCGAATTATGTATCAATTCAACAGAATTATGCATGAATAAGTAATTATGTTGTTGTATAAGTATTCACAATTCTTTACACAAAAAGACAATGCAAACCACACATTGAGGACACTACATTCCTTCATGCTTATAACAATAAAACTACAGCAGTTGTTGAGTTTATAACTATGTATATATTCTATATACTTTGTTCCAACATTTTTAATAAATGTCCAAAGATATATACCATTTATTTAAAATTTACTTGTGTGTAATAAAATTAAAGGACTCCACTTGATGTTAAATCTCTAATATATCCCCAAATTCACTATTTGAAAAATTAATAATATACATTTTTTTAAATTTTTGTTTGCCTGATCTTCTCTTCATATAATACACTCTGGATAATGACAGTTTCAGACCATTGACAGTTAACACATACCTCAGAGTGTGCTTCTGCTATATAGCTCCTCAGTTCTGCATCAGATACAGGATGAAACAGCTCATATTTTCTCCTATTATTTGAAGCTTTTTCGCAAATTTAGAGTTCAATGAAAGCAAAACCTGTCTCGTTTTTAAAGAGTTTTTTGCTCTATTCAAGGGAAACATGTAATCCAAAAATCTGGAGACCCCTTCAGAAAATGTAGATCTTGTTAAGGCTTCAGGTAACATGCTCCCAAAAATCAAAATATCAGTTTCAAATTCACAGGGCCTCAAGTTCTGCCAGATCAATCAGAATACCAGTTTTAGAGAAAATCATAGAAAAACAGACATGTTTTACTGAATCAAATTTTCAGTTGAAAGGACCCTCAAAAAGTGGATTCTGACTACATCTTAGAAGACATGTTAATTTACTAATTATCAACGTAGGAACAAGTTTTATACAATTTTTTGATATCTGACCTCACAATTCAAGTTTTGTTGATAACTTTATCTTTATTTCATAAGTATACAGTAGACAAGAAAGTAAAAATAGAAGACTTCAAATCATGATGTAGAGAACAGGTAGCTGCAACACACATTAAAAATCACACATAACTTGGAAACAATACATCCTAGGCCCTTAACACCATTTTCTTTTTGTCCCACTGGGACAAGTTCTGAAGGGTCACTAGATTTGGAGATATGTAGGAATCAGATGGGGAATGGCAAGGAACATGCCAAGACAGGTGAGGCTAGTTATCTCTTAAGCAGTACTCTACAAAATGAAACCTTTTCAAACTTTTTATTACATTTTTTTGGAGGTTGAGCTCTTCTGGATAATCCTATTCAGTAACATGGGCAGTTGGACATGAGCAGTATCATGAAATCCATGTAAAATTAAAGTGACTGTTTGATTTTCTGTGAAATTTAATCTCAATGCTTAGTATTATTAGAATGTTTATTCCTGAACAATATTGGGCTATACAACCCAGTTCAGAGGTTGGCTGTTCAAAGCTAGGATCCAATAAGAAACCATTTTCACTTTTAAAATCAATGATTTACAAAGTGTAAAATGTTTGCTGGAGCCAGCTGGTTATTAATAAATGATATTTTCAAATAATTAATAAAGATAATTTTTTTGCTGAACAAAGCTGAATAGATATACTTTGAAGGAAATATTAAGACCTTTGTAATCACTATGCAGGTTTCTTGCTGTACACTGCTCACTTTTGATTCGGATAATATAGTGATTACATTTAAAATGTAACTTAAGTTAAAAAAATTAAATCATTACTTCATTTGTATGACTGAATACTGAGTAAGACTTGAATCCCATTTTATTGAACCTGAATAAAAGTATATTTGAAAGCCCATGAACTGAAAGTGGGTGGAGAAGTAGTTTTTTCACATTATTTCAAGGTAATATCATATTACAGTTTCAATACCAATGTTTAGCGTTATCCAAATTCAGCAGAGAGATGTGAGATGTTCATAATTAAATGAACAGTTCTGCAAGCTTGTTTTAAATCCTCTCTCCCTGTGACATATAGTCGTGGGAGCCGGATATTGAAGGGGAGAGGCTTCAGCCATCAGCTTAGAATTCTATCTTGGGAGTCGCTTGTATCTCAAGGCATAGGCCATACAAGAATTCCCTCTCTCCTGACCGAGCGTGGGAAGGTGAAAGGGCATGGCGTCAATTCACGAGCACAAGCAATTCATCTCCCTGCATTCAAAATCATAACCCCTGGACTAAATATGCTTTGCTCATTGTCATGCAAGGGTATTAGAGAGTCATAGTACTGGGTTCACATTGTGTATTGAAAGTGTCAGCAAGCTGTCCAAATACAGCTAGAAAGGTGAGTATTATTAAACTCAGAAGCTGACAATAGTGTGTGGTTAATATTCATTTATTGGTGTTTTCTTCCATAAATACATTATGTTAATGTATTTTGATGATGATGATTTACTACTTTCAGGGCACAAACATCAACATCAAATGTGTCATAAAATGAAAAACATAGCATAAAAAGGGAAACCACCTTAAACTGGAAGCTTTTTGTGTCCCAATCGATTTCGGCTAAGACAGTTTTCATTGTATAAGTTTCATGATACTGCAACCTGCATTGCTGCAGTCTGTGTTTCTCTTTCTTTTGCTAGTGACTTAAAATTTCCTGCATGAAAAATCAGAATTCTTTTGTGTAAACAGCTATAAACTGTGACCTTTTTTTGAAAAGCGAAAGACAAAATTTATCCCCTTACGTTTTACATTTTGGCCCTGCAAAAGTATTCAGTGTTTTATAAGCAGCTGGCATCAATGGATACTTGGCTGTCCAGGATGAGTTGCATCTTAGTCGATTGAGCTGACGATTTGGCCATCAAGTTGTGGACATCTTCAGCAGTATAGCTCTGAAGAAGGCCACAACATGATGGCTGAAACATTAGCTCAGTCCACTGAGACGCAGCTCACCCCAGACACCCGGGTATCCAATTGAGAGTTTTGTTTCACTCCTGATGCAAGTTGACAGTCCAAATGCAAACAGACTTTTACATGTCAGGAAAATATTATGTCACAATGATCTCTACTCTATTTTTCTCCTCTCCAGTTCCTTTGAAAATTTAACTGGAATGCAATTTTATAAAACTAGTATTATATTTCAATTCACAAATTATTGTTTGAAAAAATAAAAAGTAAGATGATGAACATAAGTCATTTATTTAGGAAGAATTTACATTCACATAAATGCATTATTTTATTTTATGCTACATAGTTCCATCTATATTCCCTATGGATTTAGAGAAACATATTTCTTCTACTGTTGTCTTTAACAAAATGGTTGGTGGAAGTAAAGGACAAATTACACAAAGCACATCCTGCAAATACAGCATTCCAGCAACTCCATACACATCACACATTTTGATTACCATGGTAATATAGGAAGTACACTATAGCAGCATCACAGTAAACAGAGCAGGAAGCACAACCTGGTTTATGATTTTCTGCTTTGCCTACCCTCTCGTGGATGTTTAATTATCATTCAATGACAGGGGTGTCATCAACGTAGTATGCACAATTACGCAGTATGATCAAGGCTTTAAAAAAAGTGGAGGTAGTATGAATACAAACTGGACACGAAAATTAAGAGTAAATAAAGTTGTTTTTTTTAAAATTGAGAATGCTTTAATTGATGGAATCTTCAAGTCAGGACAGAAACAAATTAATGAATTAACCAAAATAGAATGTCTTAGCATTTCAAATGTCTAGCATTCTTATTTTTACTGGATAAAATATGCTATCTTTAAAACATAATACATATCTCTACAACATTAGAAGCATAATTTTGCCATATCGATGAGTGACAATAATTATTTCACCGTGTTCAATCTTTGCTACCTTTGATCGAAGATACACTGCCAAAATTGTGATGTTAGTATTGTGTTTTTTAATAAAAGAATTAATAACATTCCACAAAGTTAGTGATTCCTGCTTTGCTCTTCACTTGTGAACTATATTTTGCTTTATAACTGAAAAGCACAATACAAAGCTACAAATAATGCAGTTGTCTTTTAAAACCCAGACACTGCATACTTGAACCCTAATTTCTTTATGTAACAAATCCAGATAATATATTTGAGGCAAAAATATAGCATCAATCAATTTGTCTTCTAAGATACAAGAACTTTTAACTAATGGAATTCAATCAAGTAGAATAATAGCAGTTTATTGGGTTAAATATCAAGTGAGTGTGAAAAACAACAATAGCAAAAATAGATACCTGTGATGGAAAACTTAATGCAAAAATAAAACAGAAAATACTTTTCAAAATTAGGAATCACTTATGTTGACTACCAAATCACATAATTAATTCCTACTTTTGCACATAAGTTTCGATGTATTTTTTCATGAATGTGGCAGGAATTTGACAACAAAAAAAAATGTTCTGCAAAAATGAGCAGATGAGATTAAAAACTTAGGATATGAATACACCAGGTGGATTACTCATTCATGTTAGTTTTTAATTCAAAAAGTATTCAACTATCAAACAATTGGAATTTTTTTTTTCAATGAATTTGTCTGACTTGATATTTCATGAAGGTCTTCAATATTGATCATTATTAGTCCACATTTTCAATTAGAACTCGGGAAGAACAATTGTTTATTTCAAAATAATGAATTTTTAAATAAGATACTTATCTACAGTGATTCTTACTCTATATACAAATATAAAGTTCAAATGTTGACAATCAGTCTGGTAGTTATCATGTTTTGTAACAAGCATAAATGTCTTATTACTTCACCTAAGCCTATTTCAAAACATTCAGCGAACACTTTCAAATGACTCACATTTAAAGTTGAATTACCTCGGGCTTGACAAGCTGCTTCATGAACAGAAACATAGCTTACAATAATTTTAAAAAATTAAAAATTAGAAAGGGCTAGAGAATATCAGTACAATAGTAAGTACAATGAAGTGGCTGGAGAAAATAAATATTGTTGGGTATCAATATTTCTGATGACAATTCCTTGTTACACTACATACAAAAAAGAGTTTAATTTCAAAACAAAATGATTGCACAAGTTAACTAAAATTCTAATTTTACCACTTATAGATTCGGTAACATTGCAATACACCCGTATATTTTCAACTCACTAGAGCTGTCTTTTGAATGTGCTTCATTAATGCACAAATTTCAGATAACAGTTAATACAATGGCAGAAGTAGTGCTGTACCAAGTCTAGCCATCTGAATCACAGAATTTATGTAACATACCAAATTCATTCTCTTCATAAAATATACAACCCACCTAACGGCCAATATTCTATTCATAAATCTGAAATCAGTCTGATTTCAACATGAAGCAACTCTCAATTTTGGCACCAAATTTTCATGTTATCTTTGGATAATTTGTTATTAAGAATAACATTTTGCACAATATGATGAATGATTATAAATTTAGTGACTGATTCAGTATTTCCTTACAGAGGTGGAAGAATAATAATAAAATTTAGAGTAGAATGTGAGAACTTAAAAAAAGTCTGACAAATAACAAAGATCGTAAATAGAGAAAAAACATATCTTACATCTATCAACTTAAATCTTCATGCAATGTTGTATGAAGGTTGATATTAAAACATTTCTTTACAAACTTTGCTGAAAAGCACAATTTTCAAGCAGTCAAAATGTATGATCAGCAAGAAAATTCAAAAAAATTAATATCAGCAAGCACTACTTCACAAATCTTGATATGCACTATGAGCCAAGAACATTATAAGTTTTAGAGCAGAAGCAAAAATAAAATGTGTCTTCAAAAAACAGCTTAATTAGAGGTCTAAAAAAAAAAAAAAGATTTTATAGTTTCTTGGCTGGGGAAAAAATTCTTATGTGAATCCACTATTTTCACAACAGGTCATCAGGTCATTGGAATTTCCAGACCAATTTAAAAAAAAATCCATATAGCACCTTCAAGTATGTCTAAGCAATATATATATGTATATATTTATTTATTTTTGTAAAGTACTTTATAAGCATTACAAAGACTGGCAGCATGTTCATCACAGTCAGATATAAAGCTGTAAACAATGAAAATAATTGATGTTCTCTTCATTGACATATATTTACTGCATGTAAAATTGTACAGACATTATTACTTTCAACACTAGCAATTCAAAGATGAAGCAGTTCTGGCAGTGCTACAACAGAGCCAATAATTTATGAATTTATCCATCAGTTACAAAAAGATCAACAAAAAGAAACAGAAGAAAATTATATTTCTGAAGTAATACAAATAAGGACTAAACTGCATATGAGATGAAGATGAGTATAGGAGAAAAGCAATAAAATGTTTTTCCATTGCTTTACATAGACCTTTAAAACTTTGAATTTCACTCCTGTAAAAGTACCAGTGTTCAGCATTATGAAACAACTGAAAGTGAACTATGTTTTTCTCATGCACTCTTCGTATGATTCAATATTGAAATGCAATATATTGTGTATGACATACTAACTTGTGTAACAGGCAAAGAATTTAATTATTTTCCCTTCAAAATGACAAAATATGAATTTTGTAGACGTTTTTAAAATAATTTTCTAAACCAAAAAAATTGTAAAACGGTCAAGCTTATAAAACTACCAAACTTAAAGGTATAAAAATTTGGCAGAAAGTCTCAAAAGAACTAAAAAAATTTATACTTTCATTAATGGAAGAAAGGAGCTTAAAATTAATTGTTTATATTACAGTCACAGAGGCACCTACTGTAGTCATTCCTGGTCCCCATCTTTTCCTGAATGTTGTAATACCTAACAAGCAAACGTTTGGATATGCTTCTGTTGAAATGTCCAAGGGCAAATATTTTACATGATCCACAATGGCAATTAACAAGTCCTTCAAGTCTGAATAGTCAATCATAATATCTCATTAATACAAGTTTAGAAACAAGTTGCAGACTGTTTCATCATAAAATTGTCATGTCTCTGAATTAGCACCAATGCTTCCAAACATGTATTGATTACACCCCAGCCAAGGACATTTATTTTATTTCATTAATGAAATATTCTTGCACTCATAGACAAGAGTGGCAAAACTGGTTTGAACTATATTAAATATTTATACATTACACACACATCCACAATATGGAAAAAACAACACGTGAAAATATAGTACATAATGGGCAAGTTAAAGAAAATAAATTTTAAAAAATAGCACAAAACTCTTCACTGGAGCTGCAAGATGATAAATTATTTTATTAACAATGTTACTTAAATGTTTTCAGTCTTCTGCTGATGACATAGACATAAAAGTCACACAATGTACATGCAATATGTGTATATATATATATATATGCAGTTATATAATATTCTTAATGAGCACATTAACAACTTAATAAGCACCTTCGTAGAAAACATTATTTCTCTCAAACAGGGAGAGATGGGATAGACTTCTGTTACAATGCTCAGTTCGATTCTAATAGATAATGCACACCCAACATTGCAAAGGCAACTTAATATTTATTTACTATAAAGTTTTTTTTGTAAATAATATATACTAAAGATGTAGAAAAAATCACATTAAAATACTTTGCTGAAAATCTCTAAAAATTAAAACAATGGTTTTAGCCGATAATGTAGCACATACGCAAATACAATAAAAATATTGTACATACTGTATAATACAACATTCAGCATGCTTTAGCAAGAATTGCATAATGCGGTACATATTTGAACTGTCTTCCGCTATTTCTAAATTTTTCTTAGAGAAAATAATGGAAAAAATCTGTAATAAACTTTGAAGATTCCAAAATAAAATACTAAAAATCGATTTAATATAAATGTAGTCGAATAGTGTTCTAACTCTCACTCAGGACGATTTGTGTAGTTTACTTTTAAAACAAAATTGCCCTACTTGAAGCAATTCTGAATAAAGTAATAAAGAGTGTTAAATCATTCATTGTTGATTTAAAGATAGAAAAAAACAACAAAAACTTCACATTAAATTTGATGTTCGCACAATCCATCATTTATAATGTCTACTTTGTGGTCATTTATAATTTATAGCAAACTGTTAGATAACTTTATCTTCAAGCACATATAGAATGTACATGAATACCTGTAGTAGCAAAGAAATGACATTATTCTGAATAGCAATAAAAGTAAGGCAGCTTACACGCACCTGAATGTTAAAGCAAATAATCCAAACTATTTCCTGTTGAGAGCATAGGCCACTGTTGAGCAATGTTTGTTATCAACATCACCAGATTTTAAATGTCTTTCCCTTCTTCATTCCCATTTATTCTTGCTCCCAAAAATCAGCGCTCACAATTTATTGCACGTCATTGCACTGAATTAACACACAAAAAGTTCCTAAAATGTATGTTTTTGTAATCACTGGTAACTATCCATTTCTTGCTCGAAGTCCTCCTCATCAAAGAGAACATCATCAAGAACTGAAATTTTAAGATAAAATAGAACTTATTGAAACTAGAAAAAAACAACAGCAAATAATGACATTACTCAAAAATTAGGTTATATCTACCTCCAATATCAGAAATAAAATAAATGTTACCAAAATGAACACATTAGAGAAACAAACAGTTCCAATAACTATCAAGTTGCTAACACAAAAGCAGTAAGTAATTTTTATTGCAAATATTACAACAGATTTTTCATATTCTTCTGGTCAATCACAGAACTGCAACTCTTTTTTGTATGAATTATTTAATAATTTATTTCAAACGGAATATTTTGTTGGTATACAAATCAAACTTACTAAATCCTAAAACATTGTTTTGAGGCACTGTTGAGGAATGTCTTTTACAATATAAAACCACGGTTATTATTTTTTCCTTCACACTTAAAAAAGAAATATTGCTTTTAAGTAACAAAGAAATTCAGGTTCTCGGATTAATTTTTCCTGTACATGTTCACTTCCTGAGACTTAGAAAAGCTGGTAAATCTACAACAGCACATGCTTTTTTTCATTTACCTTAAGAGAACTTTAGCGAAAACTACTAGTTTTATCAACAAAAAAAATTACATAACTTTTTTAAACCTAATTTTTTTATCATATTTCATTTAAGATAAAAATATTTACCTTCAACACTACTTTTGCACTATTAATAATTTACAATTTTCAAAAATACAGTTTGCCAACAATTGAACAAGAACGGATTTTTAACATTCCTTTGATACATATGAGGAGAAAAATGAAAGCAAAATTTAAAGCCATTTTTGGGAAAATAATTGTTTAAAAATTCCTTAATTTCATGCAAAATTACATGAAAAAGACTAATTTTCGAGAAATTGTTCTTTATTTCAAGATCTGCTTTTGAACAACGAATTTCATTAAGAAAAAATGTCCATCTTCATTATAGTTGTTGAAGGAAGGCATCGAAAACATTTTAAACTTTTGCAATTTCTAAAACATCACGGATTTCAATGAAAATGTGACCTGCACCATTCTTTAAAACAATATTTACACTATCCAAGGACAAAAATTAACTGTTGTTGGAAACTGTTGTTCAGGCTTGATGTAGAGTGCCCCCAAAAATCAGAATTAACATTGAAAAAATCTCAGGACCTAGAGTTGGGTAAAATTAATAGGGGAATATAAATTTTAGAAAAAATCTTTTAAATGGTTTATGTGTTCACGTTGACCACAGATGAATAGATTGACGAACAGTTAGGCAGACAGACAGAATTGTGTTTGGACCGATGGACAGAAAGACAAGATGTTTGGCTGTCAATCAATTTTTCAGCCCCTCTAAACATGGATTCTGTATGGCATGTGTTAGTAGAAGAAATTTACAACATGTAGGAAAAAGATTTATCCACTTGTTCGCTACCAGGGCCCAAAAGGGATTTTCTGGAGAAAAATGACAATAATGACAAATAATGTTCAAGATATATGCTCTGGAAGAGAGGAAAATGCAAGAAAATATAACTTGCTCTAAAAATTTCATAAACAAATATATTCCGTGAATAAGAGGGGCTACAGTATCATATCAGCTGTCTTAAATGCCAGAATTAAGAATCAGCAGGTAGAAAAAATAAGACTTAATAAAGAAAGGACTGAACAAAAATGGGAAAATATCCTCTACGACCAGCAATAAATTGAAAATCACAAAGATATTTATATATACAAGGGCTTCCTCTGATGCCAAATCAATAACTAATATTTTCATTCATTATAAGATATCTCCTCTTGTAAACAGTCCAGGAGTCTACTCGACTTATTTGACTAACAGTGTCAGATTGTTACTCAACTGTCCAGAAGACACTGAGTCCTAAGCATAGTTGCCATAGTTTTGTCTGTCATATTGCAACCTCCTTCACAGCAAAATGCGCAAAAATGATCTGTGCAAGGAATAAAAAAAATTTTAAAAACTGTTCTTTTCCACCCATCTGCCAATTGGTTGAATGGGCAATGCAGAGAAAACAACAGCCAATCAGACAACAGTTCCCCTGGGCGAAACAGGACACAGGGACCATCCGTAATCTTGACTGCTGACATCTCCACGAGGCTTGGAAACATCTATTTTACCATGATACCTAGTTATGTCGGGGCACGGTTCCCACTGCTCCTTGATGACTGTTGTTGATAAAACAGATGCTCCCCTTATCCCACCTGTGCAGGGGAACCATTGCTTGTTTAGCAAAAGCTTTCCCCTTATTGGCCAATCTTTTGACCAACTGGCAGTGAAGTGGAGAGGAATCTCATTTCTTTAATTCATGAACGGTTCAACAGTATTTCATGGAAGCAATTCCCACCAAATGCATTAAAAAATATGAATCATAACAATGTAAACAAATTTTTTCTATAAAATCCATTTATTAAAACAAGATAGTTTAAGGAAAACTACATAAATGTCTCCAGGATTACTTGGATCACAGAGCATCCACCTTAAATGTAAATGAAAAATGGGAAGACTAAAAAATGGTAAGATAAAACCTGCCAATGACATTCTAAGCAAAAGTCCGGGACACAAGGAGGAGAACATTACAAATTTGGAAAGATGAAAGAAAAACTAACTGGACAACGCTACACAAGAACACAAACTTTCCCATACTAGATAGTTTCCTAATCTCTTTAGTCTGGGTTAGCTTTTCAGTTTTTCCCCTCCCCTCTTCCCCAGCTGCCGTCTATAGACACCTAATGTTTTCCACATTTTCTCAGTTTTTCCATCCCCTAAGAAATGAATATAAGTTTAAGAGAATCGTAGACAAGGAAAAATTGCTCCTATAATTTAAATTTTAAAAAAAAGTAGAAAACATAAATATATTGTTGTAAAAATGTGTTGAAATGTAAATATTGATGAAATAAGATATATTAAAAAAAACAACTTTTGTTTAATTTCTGCAAATACAAAAGAATACATCAAAATTGCATTTATGCCTTGTTATTCAGTCTACTTAGGTTTACAGAAAAAACTGGAGCCATTTTCAAGAAAATTACTTTTTAGGTGTCTGAAAATGTGGAATTTGATCTCTTTTTCACAGAAAAGTCTCAAGTTTCTGAGAAATTTCATGAAACATTATTTGAAGCACTGGTACTCACAAATGAAAAATTGTTTACAATTTACAGTAAAGTAAAAATTAACAAGCTGAAAGATATCAAAACTTCTAGTACTAAAACGGCACGTACTTTGTTGCCCTTATTTTCAAGCAAAATTACAAGAAAAGTATTCAAATTTTTAAAAAAGTGTACATGATCTTATTTCAAAATATATCTTTAAGAAACAGATTTTATTTACGGAAAAATCTCTGTCTTAATAATTGTAGTTTAGAAAGACTGGAAAAAATTTGAAATTTTGTTGTTTTTCAAAAATTTAGTTTTCAACAAAAATGAGATCTGCACCATTCTCTTGAATGTCCTTCACACTATCCAACAACAAAATTTAATAAAAAATTATGGAGTCAATTTTTTGAAAATTTCACAGAGGCTCCATGTAAAGTATCCCCCAAAATCAAAGTATCAATTACAAATTCAAGCGGCCGTAACGTTAATCAGATCTAGAGGGAAATATCAATTTTGTAGAAAATCGGCTAAACGGTTTGCAGATAGACAATCAGATGCTGTGCCGCCATTTAATTTTTCGGAATCAAGAACCCACAAAAAATTTGATTCTGGCAACACCACATGTTAGAGAGATTTTTTCTTCTCAATTTAGCAACTGGATTTATGCACTTTTTCATTACTAGCACCCTGCAATATGAATTTTTATGCCAAAAATTCGCCGTTTTTTAGCGCAGCATTACATTCCTTTCTCTCTACTCTTCTCTTTATTCCTAAGTACGAAAGTAAAAATTACACTTTTGTACTTTAGAACAACAACTAAATAATACAGCAAAATGGTTTTTATCTCATGTTGTAGTGCATATCTTTTAAAAAAGTTTGGTGAAAAAATATGGAGCCAATCTTGAGAAAATCTTGTTTTTAATAGTGTTTAATTTTGCCCGTATTTAATGCAAAATTACATACAAACTACTAAAATGCTCCAAAAAATGTAGATGAATTAAATAAAAAAGAAACTGTGGAGAAACATTTTAATTGAAGAAAAGTAGAATACAATCTATCTACATGCATTTTGCTATTGGCTTCAAAATAATTTTTGTTTCAATGAGACAATTTTAAAAAAATAACCACCCAATAGTAGCCAATTTCAAAGAATAAGGGAAAATATACCCTATGAATATCAGCAAAGAAAACTAAGGGTGGCATTAGAGGATAAAAAATACCTAAAATGTAAGGTGGAAATTAATAATTGTATTCAACAACTGGATTGCTTCAACTATAAGTTTTGTTTTCTCATAAAAATATATTGTTTCCTAATATAAAGTTACAGAACTTTCAAAAAAATTTGCAGAGTACTCGATACTAGAACATCAAGAAAATTCCAGACATCAGAAATGAACAAAAGATTAACTTCGCAGGAAAATTAGACATACTAAAATAACATTTGCATGATAATTGAATGAGAATACAGGAAATTCAAATGGTAAAATAACTCTTCAACTACAACGCAACACAAAAAGCAGGGAGCAGGACAACTAAGGCATTGGAGGGACACTCCTGAAGATGAGTAGGCTACAGGCTTAACCTGTGATGTTAATCATAAAATAATTAATGTTCATCACACATCATTTATTGAACAATAATGGATATGATTATTGCATATTTCTGTTTGACCTTTCCCTCAACATTCAAATTGAAACTTATTCTTTTAACACTTACTTACAATCCTTTCTAGTCTTCTAAATTAGAATTAAGCCCCACAAAAATGTGATTTCAATATCTGAAATAACAGACAAAAATACATACCTTTAAATACTGTTTCTATGCGTTTGAGATTTTTCAGAGTTCCAGATAGTTCCTTAGAAGGACTTTTAGACTGAGGAGAATCAGGTGGTGCAGTAGTTTCAAGAAGATCTATAACATCACTTAATTTTTCTGCTCTTTCTGAATCTTCCTCGTACAGATATCTACAATACCATCATTTTATAGTATTTATAAAGTGTACAAAATTGAACATTAGTAAATTATGACAATCTAAAAATTCTATAACAAATCATGAAAAATTGATGCAATAATTCTTAAAAGTTCTTACAATCATTGACCTCAGAATTGCAAGCTGGAAATTGAAAATTCACAATTAATTCATGTGGAGGAGCATTTCATTCATTTAAAAATAAATAAACATTTAGTTTTACAAAACTAGTATAATACCATGCAAAAATATCGCATCTCTCATAAGACCATCCTGTTCCGCTCTGGAACTATTAATTCTTCTGCTCTACAGATTTAGCACTTCCGCAAAAATGATTTGTGAATTGCATTTTTAGGCATTGTGTTTGAACTATGCAAGTTGTGATATTTTATTTATTTCTCTTATTTAAGACATCTCAAGCAACAATGCTTATCAAATTCAGAAAGAAATCAAGTTGGAAATAAACCTCACGTCAACATTATTACGGTCCTTTCAGGACAATGGACATTTTTTAGACAAGTTCTAAAACAGTTGAGCATCGGCAAAGACTGCTCTGCTCTGTGCAATTTATCCTTCCAGCAGAATTAATAGCCGGAGTGTCAGCTGTTAATTCTTCAACCTGTCAGTTCAGTGCATGTAGTTGGAAGTTAGGAATAGTTCTCACAAGTGACATATTGATTCAACATCATTGCTAAAAACAATATTGTAAGAACTGGTACAAATCATGCTGAAAAGCAGATGAGAAAATGTTTGTGTGTGTGAATTAAGTCTTCAAACACAAGAAACATACAGGTCACTAATACCAAATTTCAAAGAGCCAGCACTGTTTACTTTCATCACATTTTTAATTAAACTTGCAATAGACTAAATTTTAATCCCAGAATTCTGCATGTAGGCAATATTGTTTTAAAAGGTAATTTTAATGTGTACTTTTCTTGTATTCTAGTTACATACATACATTTACACCATGCAAACATTCACCAGTTGGTGTAATGACAAGAATAATAGGGAGTGCAACAGCTCCAGCATAAGTTAGCCAACATTTGAGAAATGAATGTGAATAAATTCTGTTACTCTCTCTCTCTCCTACTCATTAAATTGAAAAAACAGAATCGCAAAACCTGAACGACCTCTCACCTGAGTTTCTTTAATAATTTGCATGAGTGGCCTCGTAATTTGTTTGATAGTCCACATACTGCAGCCATTACTAAACTATCCAATGCCTGGGGAAAGAAAAAAAATTAGCAAGTGATACATACAAAGAGATAATATATTTCAAACATCACCATTATTGCTTTATTACATATAAATACAAAAAAACGTATGCAGTATGGGAATAAACACATTTGGCCAAAAGCAACAATTAGTATTATGGTATCAAACATTTACTGACATGCTGTCATTTTGTAATTTCTACTCTAAAACAAGGTATTCATTCATATCTTTTTCCATACAAACTCATACATTAGTTTTTGTAATAGACAATACTTTAAATATGTTGATTTCCAGAAACATAAATGTATATGTAGAATGATTTTTTTAACAATTTAATTTACATACAAATTGGGCCACAGAGTTATTCAGTAACAAAAAAACAAAACAAAAATCACATCAAAGAGAGGATCACATAGGTGAAAATTCTTTATCCCCATCATCCCTTCATGCACAGTCTGATAGCATATAACAGTTTCAGACATCTCCAAAGATGAAGAAAATAAATTTTCATTTATTAAGTTCAAGATCAAACCAAATTTAGAAAAATTTTGAAACAGCATTTTTTGTTATAAAATTATTCTAAGTTCCTAGAAATACGCAAACACCCAAATTTTTAATAAAGAACACAATATCTAGCCTTGCAACATCAGTATTTTGATATGAAATGTTTCTATGCTGAACATTACACACTGCAATTAAACACAGACCGGAGTAAATTCTCTTACTCCGTTTCTAGATAACAAACTCTATTTAATTGTCACCATCCTGTCACCTTTTTGGACCCATCTTTTGGTCAGGGCAACAATTCTTTGAACAAATTTAATATGGAATTATCTTTATTAATATCAAGCAAAATCTTAACCCTTACATTGCAAGCTCATCCAGATCTACTACTCTGAAAACTGCCACTGAGAGTTTTAGGTAACTGTTAATGTACTTTTAACACCTGTAATGTCCTCATTTTTTTATAACAGAGGAATATGATGTATTGATATATGTAAAAATTGCAAAGTGGACATTTTCCCCAACTGAATAAAATGTTTGTTTTTGCCAGTTCGTAATGATTTCTAAATAGTAATTTTTTTTAAATTCATTTATTTATGAAATAATAGAAGGAGGCTTCAAAAACCAATTTCAACTTAAAAACGTAGAGAGAATTTCATACATTGATGTTTAAACTATAAAAGGATGAAAACCAAAATTAAGTTTATTTTAGAATACGAGCGTGAAATTGTGAAGGAGGATGACGATGTAAAATAAACATTATGGTGAGGCTACCTCTCTTAGGCTTATGTCACATGAGCACTGCGTTGATGCGCGTCACCTAACACTGATAACGTCAGCTGCGTTGACGTCTGGGTACATGTCATATAACGCATGTAGTAGATTAACAGTATCTTATGCGAAACAGTATACAAGCGCTCTTAGTGATGTGCGTTGTGCCCACAGCTAAAGCAAGACGCTCAAGCTACAATGTCAAGATAAAGTGAGTTCTCTAGTCATGTTCTAACAAATTTTCTAGTCATATTGTGGATATCATCCTCATCACTGGCTAAGACCACTTGGTCATCTGAATACATCAAGGAATATACAAAATCTGCACTAATAGGTAATCCCAGACCCTTACTCTTTTTTTTCCAGGTGTGAAGAACTCATTTAATATATACTTTAAAGAGAGTAGGGGATACCTTGTCTTAGGTCATTGTTTATTTTAAAAGCTGAAAAACTACTTGAACCAACTTTTATGTAGCTTTGACAATTTGCATAAAGATGCTTTATATTTATAGCTTTTATGTACACTGATTCTTTTTTCAACAATTTGTTTTAGACAATATGTTGTTAATACAAGATCTCCCTGCGCAAAAAGTCACTCTGGTCTTCCATTTCCTCTATCTGTTTCCAATCTTTCCCTTAATACCTGGCCTTAGTTTCCCAATTGTAGTGATAACACTCGTGCCCTTATAATTTTCACATCAGTTCTTGTTGCCTTTCTTATAAACAGATGAAATGTGTGCCATTTTCCATTCTTTGTAAGCGTTTATTGAAAATCCATGCAATGATATCTATGGCACTTGCACGGGCAATTTTTTAATTAATTCAATTGGGATACCTCCAGGTCCCAGAGCTCTGTCACTTTTCATTTCCACAAGAACCTTACAGACTTCCCTTGTGTTTTCTTGAGTTTCATACAAAATTTTCAATATTCTAATCTAGTCCTATCAAGCTGGAAATCCTGCCAACAATAATAATTTTCTTGAACATACAGAAGCAATATTTTTGATAAATTTTCATTTTCACAGAAGAATTGAACTGCGACACTGATAATTACAACACATTGAAAATACTTAAATACCTGCTTCATGGCATTATATTATTACAAAACATGGTTGTTGTTTTTTTTTTCCTATCAAACTTTCTAAATACAGTAAAACTTCACTTATATGTTTTCAGGGGACTGAACGGAAGAAATGTATAAGTGAGAAAAATGCAAAACTGAAATTAAATATTACGAGCCTAACAAAAACGAGCCTAACAATCTCCCCCCCCCCCCCCCCCCCCCCCCCCC